CTCGCGTGTACACGGGGGAGGGGGGCGGGCGGGGGGGGTGACAAGAAGCTGGGAGGGGGCACAGCTGGGACAGCTGACCCCAACTGACCCCAGGGGTATCCCATACCATATGAAGTCACGCTCAGCATATACAGCTGGGGCAAGAAGAAGGGAGGGGAGATGTTCGGAGTGATGGTGTTTGTCTTCCCAAGTCATTGTTACATGTGATGGAGCCCTGCTTTCCTGGAGATGGCTGAACACCTGCCTGCCGATGGGAAATAAGGAATGAATTCCTTGTTTTGCTTTGTTTGTGTGTGTGTTTTTGGCTTTACCTGTTAAACTGTCTTTATCTCAACCCATGAGTTTTCTCCTTTTTATTCTTCTGATTCTCTCCCCCATCCTGCTGTGGGGGGATTGAGCGAGCGCTGCATGGTGCTTAGTTGCCAGCTGGGGTTGAACCACGACAGGGCTGAATATGTTTCTTACGTTCAGAAAGGTAAGAATTGCAGCACCCACCAAAATGCCCCCCTTTCTGTATATGCCAATAAAAACTCTTCCTCTTCCTTCTCACACTTTGTGTGCTGCTGAATCCAAATTATGTGTCTCTTCAGGAGAGGAACAGTCAAGTAAAGGGGGAGGAGATCCCTTTGGCATGCCCTTGCATTGTGCTATCTTCTTTGTATGGCACATCGCCACTATGGCTTTGGGCAGTTTTGTGCCATACAGTACATGCAAATTATTCAGATGAATGTTTGCATATTTAGAGAGAATTTGCATATCACCCAATAGCTTCCATTTCACGCTTTCCCACCTGGCCACTTCAAATATCAGGGCAAGATATGGGGCTAGCAGGATTTGGGAATGCTACAGGGATGGATAACACCTCGCTTATGGAGTGGAAGTTCTGCAGTGCCTGAAGTTATGGCACGTTTGCTGCATGGGAATAATGGGATAATCCCCAGGGAAGAGAATGCAGGTTGCAGAAGTACATCTCACTAGAGAAGAAAAAGCCTATGGCTTGGTCACTTATTTTGGCTACTGGCATAAGTTTATCCATTCTTACAGGGGGAGAACATCAACGAAGGGAAGTGGATCAGCTGATTTTCAGGCCAGCTCTGTCATCTGGCAGGAAAGTGCCCCACCAGCACCTCTCCTGCTGCTCAGCAGGGTCTAGAAGAATCCACGTGGCCCACAGCTGATGTGTACCACATGGAAGAGGAATGCAATGCCGGTGAATATTATGTTGTATCTATCTTTGACAGATGCTTGCTGAA